CCCCCCCTCTTTCTAGTGCTCACACAGCCTGACAGTGCCTGGCAGGCCTGTGTTTTCTCTTGCGTCTTTAGCGTGTGTGGAGATCAGAGCTTGCAGAAGATCAGGCATCGATGCAGGCTAGTTGATCTGTAAGCCTGAAATCTGCCTTCTCCCACTTTCTCCACTGATTTCCATCCCGTGTCATCTTGCAGCGATGCAAACATGTTCACATGTCTGTACTTCAGCAGGCCATTTCCTCTCCATTGCATATGGCCTTTTGTGCTCTCAAGTGATCCTCTGTTGCTGCCTGCAGACCTCTTTGCCTTGATCCCCATGAAATCTGCTTTTCTTTGATGGTACTGCTAAACAGGTGTCACATGGCCATTTTACCTGTGATTCTGAACCCTTTAAAACTGAATTTTGCTTCCTGGCCTGGTTAGAAGAGTGCCTAAAATGGAGAGGGAGAAAGTCTGCACTGGCACATCCCTCTGGGCTGCTGGGAGAGAGAGGAGCAGTGCCTGGAGGTGACATCTCTATCTCTGGAGCAATTTGTATATCTCCTGCAGCCTCTTGCCAGTGGTGGACTCTCTAGCCTTATGTTTTCTGTTTTTTCTCCTCAAGAAAGAGAAATCCAAATCAAGTAGCAGCACTGCCCGAGAACCCAATGGCTTCCCAGCTGACACATCTGCCAACTCCTCTCTCCTCCTGGAGTTCCAGGGTGAGTCTGACCAATCCCTCTTCACCCTTCCAGCTGGGGAAGGACACTAAGGTCTTATAGGAGCTGGGATGTTACTGGTTTTATATATGCTATGTGTACTGGGAGAAGCAATGCATCTCTTCACTATGGACATTTTTATGACCCATTTCTGGACTATCCCTGCTGAAGTTGTTAAGAAGCTGAGGCTGTCCCTTCCTGTCAGAAAGGATCATAGTCAGCTGCTTCTGGGATCTTCCGGTGGGAAGCCTAGTGGGGAACTGGAGGAGTGAGGGTTCCCGTTCCCCCTTTGCAGTCCCTGCTGGGGAGAGGCTGGGAGCTGTCTGCAGCTGAGCCCCCTGCTTCCAGCAGAGACTTAAATGGACCTAGGAAGAAAGGACGGAGGAACCTTAGTTGCTGCTATGCTAAAGACTTTGTGCGCTGTAGGATGATAAAGAAGAGGTTTGGTAGCTGTTTGCCATGACTACTCAGTACTGTAGGCAGTGATCTGCACATCCTTCATTGCCTGACATGCTGCAGGTCCTAGAATGGGCCGATGTACTCTCCGCTGCCACCATGCCAATGGGGTGCTCTGGCTGGGTTGGTGTGGACGTTCTCAAATGCAAGGTCCTCTCCCCTGTCCTGCTCAGCCTCTTCATTTTCTTTTGTACAGCACACTCTCTCCTCTGTACTGCTGCTTGTGATCCCCAAACACTCCAGCCAGCCACAAGTAGGCCAGATTCTGTGGTGGAGCTGAGCAAGGCATAGGCAGCACATGGACTTGCTGCTGGGGCAGAAAAAAGGGCAGACCATGTGCCTGTCCCCAGTCTACCCACTCAGCTCTGAGGGCAATAGAGGGAGAAAAGGGATTTTGTTGGCATATCCAGTATGGGCAGAAAGAGGTTAGCATTCAATCTCACTAGGGCCAAACTGCAGGACTGTTTTTGCCTGGAAGAGATGCATTCCAGGATTGCCTCCACTTCTGGAGGCAGGTGTTAGGTGTTCCTCCTGGGTTAGATTGCTACCTTGCAAATAGGAATTTTTAGGAATAGACTTTTTTTTTTCCCCCCACAAAATCCAGTTGCACAGGCAAGAAGTCTCATGTACTTGAATGCCTGGCTGCCTGTGAGAGGTCACGGGGCCCTTCATGAAGCTGCAGACATGAGATTTGGCAGTGTCCCCTGCAGAGCTTTGTATCACCCCTGTACCTTGTGCTCGTTCTTTCTAAATAGCCCAGGATTGCTCTCTTCTGTCCTGCTCAGACTCTCCCATTCCCCTGAGAGCAGCACCCTCTCCCCTGTGGGCTGAGTGTATATCTAATGGTAGCT